CCTGCCACTCTCTATATATGGGGCCGGTGCCCTACCCACTGAGCCACAGGTGCCACCCAGATCTTCTTCAATTTCTTTCATCAGAGATTTATAGTTTCCTTCACATAGATCTTGTACATATTTTAGGCATAAATTTACACCTAATTTTTTTTTTTTGGTGCTAATGTAAATGGCATTGTGTCTTTAATTTTTAATTCCAGCTAATATAGCATTGATGCTATATTAGAAAGCAATTGGGGCTGGGCATGGTGGCTCATGCCTGAAATCCTAGCACTTTGGGAAGCCAAGGTGGGAGGACAGCTTGAGGCCAGGAGTTGAACACCAGCCTAAACAACATAGTGAGAACCTATCTCTAAAAAATGAAAAGTAGCCGGGTGTGGTGGGTGCACCCACAGTCCCAGCTACTCAGGAGGCTGCAGCAGGAGTATGGCTTGAACCCAGGAATTTGAGGTTACTGTGAGATAGGCTAAGGCCATGGCACTGCATCGTGGGGCAACAGAGGGAGACTCTGTCTGGGAAAAAAAAAAAAGAGAGAACTGAATATTCTAAGTATATTCTTGTGGTAATTCTGGAAATCTTATTCTCCCATTCCTCAGAGATTGCTAAATTTTGTTTGTTGAAGGCTGAAGTCACCTATTTGTGATTTTTCCAAACTATTTATTGCATAGTGTTCTTTATGTGTTGTCACAGAAATTTCTGTTATATCTGCAGTCAGCTAGTGAGTGACCTGACAAAGACTTTTTTTTGGCTTAAAAAAAAGTCATGGGCCCTCTAAATCTTCTGAAAGATGCCAAGGAGGGAGATAGGGGCTATGGGAGTAGGTGGGGGAAAGGCAGTACAGGTACTACATCCAAAAGGGCCGATACCAAGGTAAGCATCTCGGGGTACCTCCCCACCCACCAAGTGCATAACACCAAATTTTTGCATGTCATCCTTGCACAGGGGCCATGCTAATCTTCTCTGTATCATTCCAATTTTAGTATATGTGCTGGTGAAGCAAGCACATAACACCAAATTTTTGAAGGGCAGGATCCCCACTGCCTGCCCTGGTACCAGTCAACTGCTTTTGGAACTTGGGCTGCTGACTGTGGTGAAGCTAAGGAATGGGAATTGTGACTACTTTTTTTTTTTTTTTTT